AATATGTGGTCTACAATCTTTCTCTTTCTTCTAAACAAATTGTAATCACTTACTTTTTATTTTTCAACACATTTTTTCAACTCCGTAAAGTCAAACTAGGACAATCGATTCGGGACGGATGGAGTAAAATAACTCCTCCTCCCTCCCCTTCCCCTCTCTGGTTCATTAAAAACTCTACTTGCTAGTTTTTTCAGTCTATCGGTCTATCCAAAGTTGACAGTTAGCTCCATTCAAGAAAAAGGCAGTTCCACAATTCTCTGGCCACTTAGTGTTTGGAGTTTGGGCAGATAGTCCTAGAATTGTAGTTCATGCTTTATTCAATTAAATATATAATGTAACTTATAATTTACATATCAAAAGACACCTTCCTTACGGTTTAACTTCACGGAGTTTAAGAAAGTATTTAAAAGTTAAAGTTGTTTGGTGAAAAGTGAAAATTGTGGTTAGGAAGTATTTGGAAGAGAGAGAATTAAAGATGTCCACATATTTATTTTCTAAAAAAAATGGAGAAGTATAAAGTTGATATTTAAACTTCCAAAAAAAGGAAATTGTAAAATTCATTCAAATAGTGAAGAAGTTTTCAACAAGTCATTTAGTATCTTGATGCAATTCACTTAAATCAATTTTTATGAAAAAATGAAATGTTTTTAAATCTCTAGATGAAGACGAAGTTGGTGATTGGTGTGCTATTATTATGATCATAGTCTTATTTATTCATTTGTTATTCCAATTGTAAAACTTTTAATAGATACTCTGTATTACATTATACAAGCCTATTATTATATTTTGGTATTAATAATAGTTTTCCACTATAATTACTAGTAATAGCTTCCTTTTAGTATTAGTATTCTATTCTAGTTAGTATTAATATTCTTGTAGATAATGGCTCAATTTACTTGCACACCAATATTTGTTATGCTTAATGATAACCTTTATGAACTATGTAGTGCAGGCTGTTATATGGTTCCTCAGAAGGTGGTCTTCAACATATTTGATGCCATCTGAGGAATATAAAGAAGGTAAAAGTTCAAATGATTTTGTTGATGGACGGTTTAAGGAAGTGCAGTCTCAGAAAGCGTTGCTTGATTTTTGTGGAGATCACAATCAGGGCAAGGCTGTGCTTAATATCATTGTTCGCATCTCGATCACCTCTCTTATATCTTATCCTGGCGAAAAAAATTTACAGGTATGAAATATGCAACTGTTTATTTTTCTTTGATAACGCACCTTGACAGTTGTATAAGATTACAACAAAGGATTATAAAAATATTGTTTGGAAATGGTAGGTAATGAGCCCAAGTCACATTAATGCCCTGATCATCTTCCCCTCCATTAATATTGAATAATGAATAAAAATTCAGAAGAAATAAAACACAGCTTCAGTTAATCGGAAATCAAAAGTCACATAATCATTAAAAATACACTACACATTGAAAAATCTGGAGTCTGGACCAGGATGCGCTGAAATAAGAAAAAAAGAACAACAACAACAACCAAGCCTTATCCCACTAGGTGGGATCGGCTACATGGATCAAACGACGCCATTGCACTCTCTATCAAGTACCATATCAGCAGCAAGATCATTCACGCGAAGGTCCACTTTGACCACTTCATGCCAAGTCTTCTTAGGTCTACCTCTTCCTCTAGCCACATGTTTATTCACCATTTGACTTATTTATATAAAAAGTAATACTTGGGTACTTATTTACAATACCTTTTACTTTAAATTGTGATTTTTTGTTTACTTTCTTTTATATGATACTTATATTTTAGTATGTCTGTTTTGTCTTCTTTAAGAATATAATGTCATTTTGCAATTTTTTTTACTCTCCAACCCAAATTAAATTTTTCTATGACCGAATATATAGTTCAAAAAATGTTGAAAAATAAAACAACATTACCCCAGTGCCTCAACGGCTCCCGCCTATTGCAGGGTAAGGGGGGTCGGATGTACATAGTGTGACCCCTATGTTTAAAACATAGAGCGGCTGTTTCTAGATGACCCATGATGAGCGCCGAAAGTTGCATTGACTAACTGCTACTTCACAATTGCAAGAAGCACAGACAGTTTAATGAGCCAATTTGCTTTATTCCATCATACCCCAAAGCCAAAAAATAGTGAATCTTTTGCTCCACAGGGGAATGGATATTGTTGAAAAATAAAACGTCAAAACAAAATTTAATTTTATTCTCATTTTTAATTTTTATTAACATAAAAACTATTATACATATGGATATATGTATATGTATGTTACACACACATATAACACCCAATGTTCACCTTTTGACGGCCCAGCTCTGGCCTTAAAAAGGACCTCTCACCCACCTCTCACCTTTCATAACTATGCCTTCACATTCAACTGTTGTAATATATTGATTATATTCTGTTATTTTTTGAAATTTTATAGGCACTTACTTGCTTTGAATTGCTCCATGGACTTGTTCGGCGTAAAAGTGTTTGTACACACCTTATAACCTTGGTTAGTTGTCCATCTCTTGTTACATTGCTTGTACGAAATTCTGGGTTGATGCACCTTCTTCCCTCTCTTTCCCCAGTGCATACAGTTGTCTGTGCAAATTGTTTTACTTGAACTCTAGCTAATGCACTTCCTTGCCAGTTTATATGGTTAACACTTGAACTAAAAAATCTAAGACTTTGCTATAATTTAAACGGGATTTTAACTATGCTCGTATTCCTTCCATCCCGCTATTTTTGGGACATGGAGTAGTGACATGTAAGTTAAGAACAGTGGAATTGTTTGGAAGATATTGATCTTAACATGTAAGAAAATGTAAGATTAGATGTGTCACACAAATGTTTCTAAATATGGTATGAGACAAAAATAGTGGGACAAATGGAGTAATATTTATGCTCTAACTTATTCAAGACATACAATGATAATATATTTAAATTTTCCCCCACAAAATCTGATCTGTTAGTGTGCAGGATTCATGGCGTGATTTGGCAAATTCATTTGCTAATGAAAAAACTCTTTTCTCGTTATATGGCTCTTATCAGGTAAATTACGTTATCGCATTTTAGTTGGTTAGGGAGTAGTGAATAGGGTAAAGATGCAAATAAATCCTTTTTCAATCCCTTTAAAAGAGCGGAATCATGATTTACTTTGTCTTAGTCTACAATTTTGAAGGACTGAATAGAATCCCCTCTCTCCTTTTGCCTACTGGGTCTGTCTACCCTTTCTCATCTTCTCTACCTGTTCTGCACCAACTTTCGTATCTCCAAAATATGCGTTGCAATACTTTATGTTTTTAAACTTCAATGCTAGTTTGTTTTATTACAGCGTTCCCTTGCGCAAACACTGGTTCGTTCAGCTACTGGCTTGAGAGATTTAGAGATGTCATATCAGTGAGTATATAATCTAGTTTATACTCGTACTATCTATCTTTCTTTGCTTGTTTTTAGCTTGCAACTTCTCACATATTCTAATCTGCATCATAACTGCACATAGGTATGTGAAATACCTAACAAACCACATGACTGATTACCTTGTGGAGCTTTCGGGCAGGAATGATTTAAAAGATGTGGCGCAACAACCAGACATCATCTTACTGGTTGGTGACTACAATTTGCTTTACAGATTATAACATCAGTTTTTTTTAGTAATCCTTTATACACATTCTTATCGGCTTTAATAAAATATACAGGTTAGTTGCTTACTAGAGCGGCTTCGTGGAGTTGCCATTGCAACAGAACCCCGAACACAAAAGGCAATTTATGAGATAGGATTATCAGCTATGAATCCTGTGCTGAGACTCGTAGAAGTTTACAAATTTGAGGTATTGTATGATTTTCTGATGAATCAGTTTAATGTGCAAAAAAGCTTTGCATGTTCAATTTGTTTGCACATAGTAATTGAATTTCAATGGTGATCTGATGTGACTAAGTTTTATGATCTTTTTTTGTTAACATAGTAATTCAATTTTCAGTAGTGATTTAATGTGACTGAGGTCAGTATCATATATGTTCTTTGAGCCCCCAACAAAAGGTCAGTATTGTATAAGTTTCCTTTCCCTCATTAGTTGCAGCATTGCTTCCCAGTTTTGAACCTAGGAAATTGGTTGTTATTCACTTGGTACACTAAAGTTGATCTTAAAACTATTCTTCTAAGGCAATGATCTCATCCAATCCTTACAGTTTGCTGCTGCTCTTTGTCACATCATTCATCATCTTCCATTATTCTCTGCCGTGGTTGTAAATGTTGCCACCTTCATTTCCTGATCCAATACTTTATGGAGTCCTCAGCGTCATCCACTTATTGATGCCATAACTTTTGTTTGGGAGGGCTTGCTCTATTGTTTTACAAGTATCAGTTGAATTCAAAGTTTCAACAAGGATTAAGTTGACCTTCATTTCCTGATCCAATACTTTATGAGTCCTCACTGTCATCCACTTATTGATGCCATAATTTTTGTTTGGGAGGGTTTGGTCTATTATTTTACTAGTATCAGTTGAATTCAAAGTTTCAGCATGGATTAAGTTGGAGTAATGAAATTCCTACAGTAAAAATTTTTCTGGCATATTTGCGGTCGACTTCTGTTTTGCTTTCTTGATTTTAAAAAGAAGTTTTGACTACATTTGACATTAATGATGAGCTAGCTCCACTCATTTGTTTATTTCATGGAATAGCTATTCCAATAAATCTTATGTGCACCAGACTATCCCGATAATGCTGTTTAACTGTCATTGCGCTGTATAACAACCCAGTAAGGTCCCACAAGTAGGGGTCTGGGGAGGGTAGATGTATGCATACCTTCCCCCTACCTAAAGGTAGAGCTTAGAGATTTCAACATGTTGTACGGATAAGGAGAACACTTATATTTACAGCGCATTTCACATGCTTGACAAGTTGTTCCAAAAGGTGAGATAGCTTGCCTTGGGCGCCCCTCCACAACCTGTCCCATGGCATGTGAAGACTGGAGATGAGGCAAATAACACTACATAGGGACATAGTGTCTCTTGGGTCAAAATCCTAGTTATCAACAGTATTCTTCATTTCAATTCTGCCACCTGAGAACCTACTGAGATATTTCTGTGGTGGCAAAGGTGCCGATGGGGTCTGATCTGTTACTATACCATTACAATGTGCTGCTTATTGTAAATGTTTCTTTTCTTCTCATGCTGTATTGCTGTTTTCAGTTTGTCTTGGAAATCTTAATTTATATTCTTTAGCACATTGTGTTCATTCAGTAAGATTATTATTTCAATTTTGTAGTTTTTAAGATTTGTAAATTTGAAGGGTTAGTAATATGCTCAACTAATGCCTATTTTTAGTCTGCAGTTGTATATATGTTGCTTAGGTTTGTTGTTGATTGGGTTGATGGACAAATCAGTTACCTTGAAGCTCGTGAAACTGCAGTTGCTGTTAGCTTCTGTATGAGTTTAATTCAGCTGTACTCATCTCAAAATATTGGCAAGGTATTTTTTAAATTGCACATGCTTTCCTGTTAATTTGTCCAATCCCTAAAGCAGGAATGATTGATCTCAATCCCTAAAGCAGGAATGATTGATCTATAAAAGATTGTGTTTTACTCATCTGCTGGTCTTGTATAACATGACTTATATTCTACCTTTTTTACTTTGATAAGATCGTTTCATTTAAAACACCAAGTTTGGGGTGCATTTTAAAAGAAAGCTGCTACTACGCAGAACTTAGACAATGCAGAAGGTTCATGATAGCAGTAATAGGGGAAAACAATTGCAAAATTGTAAAACAGTTACAAACTTGTATATATCTCTTCCAGTTGAAGTTTTTATCTATCCAATGCATCAGAGATTGTCATAAGTTTTCTTATAAATTCTTTTCATTTTATTTCAAAATCTTCTTGCAGCGTTATATGCTTTAATCCATCAAAGTGCTTCCCATTAATGTTTTCGGAATTGACATTTATGCCTACAGATTTCTCTGAGCCGTTCGAAGAGCATGTGCTCTGAAGAAGATACTGAGAGGTACAAGGATATACGAGCTTTGCTTCAATTACTTTCAAGCCTCTGTTCAAAAGATCTGGTAAGTTTCTTTGTCCTTCAAGTTTTAGCTGATAGTTGCACTTTGTTCCACTTCAAACCAACTTAACCCCTGACTAGGTACTAGGAGCCTCTGTCTGCAGTGTAATGCTTTTTACAACAATATCTTGTTTTAAATAAAACTATTAGGGATAACATGATAACTGGTTTTTCAGATTGATTTTTCATCAGAGGCCATCGAAACTCAGGGTACTAACATTTCTCAGGTTTGTTTGAGTTGTAATATATTAGATACTTGAAATGACATACTAATGTGACATTTTTCTGATTTAAGTTTTAACATTCCGGAGTCTCTATCTTTTCTACCAGGTAGTATACACAGGTCTTCATATAGTCACCCCTCTAATAAGTATGGATCTTTTAAAATACCCGAAACTTTGTCACGATGTAAGTTTTTCTTCTTCTTTCCAACTGAATATTTCAATAAGCTGCTAAGAAACTAATATACTGGTTTGTTTTTGTTTCCCCCCTCACAGTACTTCTCATTGCTATCACATATGCTGGGAGTTTATCCTGAAATGGCTGCACAATTAAATAATGAAGCTTTTGCTCATATTGTTGGAACCTTGGATTTTGGTTTACACCATCAGGTAACTTGTCCGCACCAAATGATAAAATGTGCTAGGTTCTTCTTGGCAGCCTTTTTTTATTTTAAACGCTTAGGCCTTGGCAAATTCCACTCATTTCCCACTAAACCTGATCAATCTGTAACTAGGCACTAGGCTCCAGTCTACCTCCTAGTGGGTGCTTTGAGCTGTTTTCAACTTTGTCCAATATTAAGCTGCTCCAATGTATTCATTATGTTTGATGTTACATACATTCATACATACATAGATACTATTAGATAGATACACACACACACACACAAACTTACTCTTGCTCCTACTGATTGCTCCCACCGTCAAAAAAATAAAATATTTTGACTTCAAAGAGTGTACGAAAAATGTTGAAAAGTGAATGGTGTGTATTAACCTCGTTTAGAAGAAAGAGAAATGTCATGCGTGGTGCGCCACATATTATTTTACTCAATAGGAAAATATGCAAGTGTAAACTTCATTTTGGAACATCCCTTGAAGTCAAAATATTACTTTTGTTTTGGGGAGGGGGAGTATTTTACCGAGTAATACACAACTTATTACCATTATTTACTACTCTTTATGATACCATAGGATGTAGAAGCTGTTGATATGAGTCTACAAGCAGTGAATGCACTTGCTTCTTACCACTACAAGGAGAGAGGTGCTGGTAAAATTGGGTTAGGTTCCCGTGCTGCAGCTTCCACAGACTCTGCTGGAAACCTTCAAGAAGGCATTCTAAGCAATTTCCTTCGTTCACTGTTGCAATTTCTTCTATTTGAGGATTACAGGTAAGATGGAAGAAAAGACATTCACAACTTACAATTGTCGGTCCTATTATCACGAACCCCTAAAAGAGAGGATCATATCGTCACCCAAATTTGGTCTAGATAATGAACTAGGAAATGAAAGTTTAAGCACGTTGCTACTAACATATTAAATTTTTAAGAAGCCCATGTTGTCATGCTTTATTTTACCCGCATTATCGGATGTGTAAATAAAGTCCTGGGTCCATGTTTTTTGAGTTTTTTTTGGACCCACATGACTTGATTTCCGTTGAGCCCATGATCTCCTGGAAAGAACCTCTTTAATTTTTAGTGTGATTTTACTGGCTTTGTTGGATGACTTGAATTCCATATTTTACAACATGAGCACGTTCTTAGGACTCGATAACAAACCAATGGCCCTTAAAATTTGGGACTTTTTAATATTCCTGCTCTTACATGTTTGTGGTTGCAGCAATGACATTGTCGGCTCAGCTGCGGACGCTCTTCTTCCATTAATCCTCTGCGAACAAGATCTTTACCAGGTCTTGTCTTGTTGGTCTTACCAAAAATTTACTGAACAAAACAAAAAAAATTATCTTCCCGTCTTTAATTTTTAAACCATTGATTCACTCATCTCGTAAAGAATTTGTGTACTGCAGAGATTAGGACATGAATTGATTGAGAGGCAGGCAAACCCGACATTCAAATTAAGGCTAACAAATGCATTCCAGTCTCTCACAAGTTCAAATGGTATCTCTTCCACTCTAGATCGCTTAAATTACCAGAAGTTCCGAAAAAACCTACGGGCATTTCTTATCGAAGTTCGTGGATTTCTTCGGACAGTATGAGTCTCATGGGGTTTTGCAAAGAGTACTTTGTTTGGCTTGGAGCAGCCAATGTTTTATAGTGTAAAGTAGGGGACACTCAATCTACTGCTCATAATTTATGGAATAGGAGTAAAATTTTCTTTTGAATTCATCTCTTGTGCCCTTTGGCATTTTTTATTTATTATTGTTTTTTTTTACAAATTATTGTGACCGTTTGAGCGGGATGTCTCTTGAAAACACCATCCCTGAGTAGTAACAAGGTTTGCGTATACACGCTTCCAAGACCCTATTTTTGTAAAATTTTATTGGGTTTGTGGTACAAATTATTTTGATTGGTTAATTACTCCCTCTACCGCTACTTCGATGAGTGTACAACCTTTTAGTTTTAGCAAGGTACAACCCTTAGAAAACACTAAATATACTACTCTAATTATACTTTCAAACAAGTTGAGAAATAATTTTTTTTTACGTGACAAACCTGTTTAGCTAGGACTCTTTTATGGGATGGAAGAAGTTTTTACACTTCATACTTGACATTTTACACAAGAGTGTTTTATTTATAACAAACTAAACAAATTTTGTATATTACACTTGAGAGTAGGGTCTGAGGGGACAATATATGAGTAGAAAGTTTGAGGGAGTGTCATGTAACAAATGAGGATAATGTATGCTAGTGTTTTGATATCAAAATGTAACACTGTAATCTACAAATAAAAATACTGCACATAGATTTAAAAAAAATATGCAAAATATTTTTAAAATAATTTTAAAGTATTTTTTTAAAATAATTAAGTATTTAAAACAAATAAATTGCTTGAATGGAAAATTTAAAATTTTAAAATTCAAAAACATCAAATGCAAAATAACATTGGAGAAAGTAAAAATTTATTACATTTAATATTACCTCTGTTTTAGAGTATTTGTTTAGTTTGATTTTTTAAGTTACTTAGATTGTCAACTAAACAAACTTCATACTCTGGATATTACTACAAAAATAATTTTATACCTCGAAGTATGATTTATCTTGCGGAAAACTATTAAAAATTTATTTTATTTTATGTTCAGGCATATTGCCTACGTATAGCCAAATAATAAAACCAAACGTTTAAGAATGAGTTGTTTTCTTCCACTAACTTATATTCGTATATTGGCTAATTTTACCCTAACAAATGAACACAATAACAAATACGTAGTACTCCGCAATTAATAAAAATTACAGTATACTCGGCATATTGATACAAAAATAACTAAAATCGATTTATCTAACTTTATTATATGAATATGTAATACTCCCTCCGTTCCAATTTATAGTAACTGTTTCGGTTTATGATGTTTGGCTGAAATTATTTTTAAATCATTTTATATGACAAATGGCATAGAGTTAAAAAAATAAAAATTACATATTAAAATACTAAATTAAAAGATCTACAAAACTAGTAGTGACAATAGTACTTTATTTTACCAAATTGTTAACGAAAATAAAGAAAGTAAATGAAGTTTGACCCTGTGAATAGTGCACATGCACTATAATAGGACGGAGGAAGTACTATTTTTATATAATTGTAGGTCAAAATTTGTTGAATTTGATTTTAAAATATCAAACGGAACAAATATTCGAAAGAGTGGTAGTATACATTATCCAAAAGAATTGGTCTAGTTTTACTCAATGCGACTTCTAATAAAATGAAAACTGTGTGGTTGATTTGTATACAACGGAATTGGATGGAGTGTATATTGTTTTCTACTCCACATAGAAACAAAGAGATCAAATTTGAACAACGAATAGTAATGACTAATGAGTAATTTTTCCCTTAAAAAAAATATGTTAACCGTAATAAATATTTTATATTTATAATTCAAAAATTAATTTGTGCAGAACCAAACACAACCTTAAGTTATCTTATAACGGTATCTCCCATATGCAACCGTTTCTCCCCAACAGAAGAAAAAAAGAGAAGGGTAAAGTTTACAGCATTAAGTTCAACCCTTCCTTCAAAGGTCCAAAATAAAGAATTACGTTTACCTCAGTACAAAATCTCAACATGTATCACAACAGCTAAAAAATTTCTTGCTTTGGGCAAAATTATAGTACCAGATTCTTTTGTCAACACCCAAACATCTCATTCTTTTATGCCTGAAAGTTTACGAGTCCAAGTCCTCGACGATTGGGGGAACATCGGTGGAAGAAGCTTTGCTGTGATTATTCCCACTAGTTGGGATTTCATCTGTGTTTGGATTTTCATCAATGCCATCATCTCCAGAGTTGTGGGATGCAATTTGGATATGCTCCGCGGGGGTAATGGTCTGAGATGAGTCAGCAGGTGTTACAGTATCGATATCCATTCCAGCTTTTGGGGTCAGAGGGCTGATAGGGGCATCAGTGCCGCTGTCTCCAGAGCTGTTGGGTGTGTTTTGTACATGTTCTGTGGATTCTGCTGCAAGAGACGGTGTAATGGTCTGCGATGAGTCAGAAGGTGTTGCAATGTCGATATCCATTCCAGCTTTAGGGTTTCCGTTCAGTTGTCCCAGAGCATCATCATCATCTGTCTTCTTCTTTGGAGTTATTTCGCAATCTGGCTGGTCTTCATGAATTCCAGACATGGGCTCTTCAGGATCTTGTTTATCATCAGCTTCAGCCTTGGCCAGCTCGGTCATTTGTTCCTGAGCATCATCATCCGTATTCTCATTTAGAGTTGTTTCACGATCTGAGTGGTCTTGCTCAACTACGGCCATGGGTTCTTCAGGATATTGTTTACCCGGTGGAGCAATTATTTTATCAATAGCCTCAGCTTTTTGAAGTTTGTTCAGTTCATCATCCACCTTCTCATTTGGAGGTTTTTCAAGATTTGGGTGGTCTTCATCAACTACGGCCATGGGATCCTCAGAATCTTGTTTACCATCAGCCTCAGCCTCAGCCAGTTCAAGAAGGGCACAATTCTTAGCCTCGGCTTCTTTTTCTTCTTTCCTTCTGTATTCCTCCATGAGATGCTTGATTCTTTCTTTCTCTGCTAAGAGGTCCCCGTAGCGCTTCTGTAGGGTACGCTCAAGCTCTTTCTGCCTCTGAACTTCTTCCCAGATGTTGTTGATCCTGTTTGATGCGGCAATCTGCTCTTGGTTTTGCAACACTTTGAAAGATTCAAGTTCAGTCCCTGCAGTGTCCATTTGCTTGAATATTGCGTCTATTTGGGACCCAATTTTGCCTGCTCGGAACTGTTCAAATCAAGATTCCAGAGATCTTAGCAATGAAAATTCCAATCCATGAAGTGAATAGAACATACATAGCAGCACATGATTAATTAATAATCTGTATGAGTTGAAAAAAGAGGATTTGGAGGGAGAAAATTTTTCACTTCAGGTCCCAGAGTCCATAGTATCATGAGATTCATGGCATCCCTACTTTTGGTCCCTAATTTTCAATATTTCCATTTTCAGTGCATGGACATGGATTTCTTTCCACTTTTGGGTCTTTCCGGCAAAAACCAAACGGATCCACTTGAGAATTTTATGTTTAAAGTCATTGCATGAATGGTTTCATGGGGGTTCTGCAAGAAGGAACTTCATGATAATTTTTATTTGATTCTGATTGGAAAAGTTAGCGGAAAGACCCAAAGTCAAAACACAATGATCAAATGTCAGGGTGACCCAGAGTCATGACTCATGAGACTGAATGTGGAAATATTCTCTTTCAATTACATAATAGAATAATAAAATTAATTGTCCAATAGAAATGAAGCTCACCTGGTATCCATTTGTTAAAACTTTAACTTTTTGTTCAAGTTTTTGTGCCTTCTTGGTGCAATCGTCCATTTTCTTCTTCACATTCTCAAATTCGGACTGCAGAGCACTAATTTTTTCCATGTTTTCAGCAACACTGGAGAGACCATAGGAATTCTTTGTGGGGATGAACATGATATCACTTGAGCAGGTTTTGTGTGCTTCAATGAATTCATCTAGAGATTCAGTCTCATGTCCCATTGCTTTACGCAGAAACTGAGCCTCATCCTTGACCAGATTTTCAGCCTGTATTGTTGGAATTTTGTTAGTCTACGGTATAAAAATAAAATATGCATGGAAGGAATTTAAAAAGAACAATGACACTTGGATATTGTAACCAGCTAACCACACCCATCAAACTACAATACCACAACAGGAAGATTAAATATTTCATTGCAAGGAATAAGGAAAGCCTCAATATAACTAGTATCAAAGAAGGCAATTTACATCCTGTTTAGTTCGCAATGGAAGTAAAATATACTAAGTGTTTTGGTTGCAATGCTAGGTTTCGGAGTTCATTTTCTTTACGTGGATTTTAGAGTTTTTCTTTTATTCAACTACAAACTGTTATTTTTTTTTAAACACATGCACCTTTTAATGTGCTTTAATGAAGGTAGTGATAGTTGTCCTCTTAGTGAAATTGTCACACATTAACACAGACAGTCAGAGAGTAGTACTTGTTGCACAAAATCAACAATCTCATTTTACATAGGTTATACTAATGCTTCTAGTGTGTGCACCGCTACACAATAGCACTTCAATGAAGCTCAGCAATTATTCATTGTAGCATAGTACATCATAAAAATAGGTGATGCTGTACAGTGTTCATAATATACAATACTCCTGCATTTCCTGAATAATCATGTATAAATATTAAGAGGAATGAATGTTATGTGTGTGTATAGCATAGATTGATAGATATATTGTTAACATTATTGGATGATGTCAATTGATATACATAATAATAGAAGATGGGCATGGATGATCAAATAACCAAAACCTCTTGCACATTGCTAACCTTTGAGGTACAAAGTTAGGTTACCTTCCCATCACAGGCTAACAAAATGCTACCCAAGGTTAGGAGAAGATGATAGTTTATACATCATACGGAGTATAACACAAAATGTACCTCTTTGAGCTCATCTTCTTCAAAATCTTCAATAGCGGGCACATGAACAGTTTTTCTTTTGGTTACTTTCTTCTTCTCCTTGTCTAATTTCTCATCAGCTGGGTACTTTGTGTTATCATGCTCTAACAAAGATAGCAGCTCTCTTCTTATCATCTCATCAGCCTGCTCTAATGCTGTAGGAGGAACAAATGAGCTCTTATCTTCACCAGATCTTATAAGTTTCATCCTAATTAGATCCAATGAAGCGGGAGGAGGTCTTGGGAGACCCCTCTGTAATACTTTTGATCTTTTCCGGAGCAATGCTTGCTGCCTTGCTTCTTCTTCGGCCTTCTCCCTTGCAATCTTATCAGACATATCCTCTTCAATCTTTTCCTCAGGTTCATCATTCTCTTCAGGAAGTGGTTGCATGACAATCTGATATTCATTCTTAGGAAGTGGAAGACTTTTTAGACCGGCAAACAATTCTTGTCTAGAATCTGAACGCCCAACTTTCATCCCATTGTGCATATCCATTTCTTCATTAATGTGGAGCTCATCCCTCATTGGAGTCCCTTTCGGAGTCATGCCAAAAGAATATCCATCCCTTGAAGGAGTCATGCCGATTCTAGGAGTGAGACCAGTCCCTCCTGGGGTTGCTGAAGGTGTCAAGAGGGGGTTTGGTGTATGTATCTCCCTCTTTTTAGGAGTCACACCAGAAAAATCAGATGGATGCAACATTGGGTTCTCTCCCCCCAGCAGTGGTGTTTGAGACTGACTCAATCTTCTTTGATTTTCTGCTTCCATCATTATAGCATCCTGCTTGTTTGAAGGTGTTCTTTGAGGTGTACGTGACGGAGTCATCCCCTGGCGTGGAGTTTGGGCATAATTTGAAACAAGGGCACGTGTGGCAGAATTCCCTTCCATTAGTTCCTCGCTCCCAATGAGGTCACTTGCAATGCCAATCTTAGCAATAGCCTCCAATTCATGATCTGAAATTTGAGGGGCGGGAAGATTCAGTTTGGTCCTCTTCCTCACTGTTTCAGGATCATTTAGCTTGTTGGCATGGAGTATGGCTGAAGGGGCATCCTGCCTTTGAGCAATTTTATTCCTACCAATATCCTGTTTCCGCAGACGAGCCTCTTTATCAATACGTCTTTCACCTTCAAGTTCGTCAATAGTTGTTGGGAACATAGGTTGCTCCACTGGACGGTCTTCATCAGCAACATCATAAAAACCTGGAGGCGGTTTCTTCTCGAAGGGTATCTCAGCATTATAATCAATGCCCCTCCTCTTTCTCTTCCTGTGTCTAACATCAATTCCAGCTGCCTTCAACTCTCTCCTCTTTTGTAAAGAAGCTAGCCTCCTAGCCTCTTCAAGTTGTTTCTCCCTAGCTTTTCGTTTGGCCTTCTTGCCTCTTGTGTTGGCAAGCCTTGCACGTGCTTCAGAAAGCATCTCTTTCTCATCTTCATCCATATCAACAGGATCAGGACGAGGAGGCTTCGATTCTGGATTTGGATCGATCTCCCCAGGACGCAATTTCCTTGGATCGTCACTAGCATCATAATTCTCATCCTTGGCACATGCTGCATCAAGTAGCTTCTCATAGCGTTCCAAGCACTGTGATGGAGTACGACCCACAATAGGCGCAATGGTTCTCCACTGTGTTGGCATAAGCTTTGCAAGATGAAGCAGCTTCTCATCTTCTTCTCTAGTCCACTCCGTCTGCCATGACATTGACAGGGATATGTCAGTTCAAGAATCTAGGTTGTCTACCATAACATTTTCAAGATACATGTAAATATTATTCATGTAAATAACTCTAGGTGTTGCAATCCAAAAAGCTCAATGAAATAAGCTGCCTGCAGACGCAATAAACAACAATATACAACCATTATAGAAATGAGCAAACAAGTGCATTACAGGAGGAGGATGTACAAAGGTAGAAGTTGACAGATTGCCCTAATACGACTTGCAAAAACGACATATATTCAGCTATCAATTTATGGTGTGTAAGAATGGCCAACACTAGCAAACAATACCCAATCCACTTATCAAATTTACAAAAAAAAAAAAAGAAAAAAGAAAAAACTTGCCTTTTTGATGGAAGGATCGAGCCACTCATACCAACGGGTTTTGCACTGCTTGGCGGATTTACGAACGAGGAGGGAGGAGATACGGGCCCACTGGTTCTTGCCGTATTTCATGACCGCCGCCTTGAGGATCTCGTCCTCCGTGTTCTTCCATACTCCCCCCTTTATCATAATCCTCATCTTCGCTCACTGTTTTCTCCTCCCGGAGGAGGACCGCTGCTTCCACTAGGTGAGACGAGAACGCCGCCGCACGGAGGTGCTAGGGCTTGGAAAATCCCCGGAGTGTTTTTAGCACGAAAACCAGATCCGATAACTTCAGATTTCGAAGTATATGCACATATTTTGAATGTACCTGCTTCAGATTCACCCCACTAGAGGTTTTCCGATGACAATTCCGATGATAATGCCGGTGAAATTATGAACCGCTTCAGCTCCTCCTCCTCCAACCCGTCGACCACTTTGTTACCGAGTTACAGGCCGCCTGAGGAAAGGGTTTTGCTATTTGGTACTGTTTCTGTTAGCTTTCTTTGTGTTGCCCTTATTTTTAAAAATGGAATTTTTACAATATCTTTGGGAGTACTTNGGGAGGGTTAGGGGGTAGGAACCGTCGTTTTTACAAACGGAGCACCGTAGGTACCCCAAACGAACTGGTTAAGCAACTGGTGTATAAGTAACTAGTGTCATTTTAGACGCTCCCATATATATATATATATATATATATATATATATATATATATATATGGTTGTTTTGTAGTGTATTGTATTTGTTAGGAATCTTCTGCTATTGCTTGTACGTGTTGCTTGTACTTGGTACTTTATCTGTGTTATACTGTGTTCCCTTCCATATTTTTGTGCAGGTGGAGCCGGGGGTCTCTTGGAAACAACCTCCCTACTTCCGAATAGGGGCAAGGTCTGCGTACACACATCCTCCCCAGACCCTACTGTTGTGGGATTCACCTGAGTTGTTGTTGTGTATATATATATATATTCAAAAAAATTGATAAAAATTATTCATATGTGGTTAGGAAAAATGAAGATGTATACATTTTATTTTGAGATTCATAAAAAGAAGAAAGTAAATTTTTAGAGGGACTACTATATAGATTTCGAGAGCCTTTATCATATTTGGATGTACTCTATTATTCTTGTACATCATTTTGAAATAATAAAATGTTCATTTTTGTATATTCTTCATTTTAATTATAATACTCATTTACGAATAATACAATATTTATTATAATTATAAATAGATACATTCATCGATAATACTCTTTTAAACAAAGTACAAAATAACAGATTCATCATTAATAAATCACCTTAAATATATATAAAATAGAGAGAACGTACCAATTTAGAAGCTCCATGTTTTTATCCACAAAATAAGAGTTCGCATTGTGGTAATGTAACATTGTATATTGACATTTCACAATATTTTGATAATGTATATGATCATGATTGACACTGTAAATGTATTTTAACTATTATTTCGTGAATAAAAATATGAAATTCCTATTTTGAAAGCAACCACCTCCATTCTTCTGATTGGCCACACCTTTGTTCATTACCGATTGAAAAAACTAGGGTGTCCTCCCTTATTTATGTGGTGGATCTAGATCATCGATTGACGTAAAAGTCTCAATTACTATCATCGCATTGCTCCTTTGTTCCCATTCCTCGTTGCTAGTGTTCCATTCATTCCCTCGCCGATCCACACTTCTCTATGTTGTTGTTGGCTTGCGGTTCACTGTTCTCTCAATATTGACGTCAGTTGTACGGGAAGACCTGTATAGCTGGTTGTAGGATATAAGTTACACTTTTGGTATGACTCCAATCTTGTCACTACTTTCTCATAGACACTACAATCACTTATTTGTTCGTGTATGTATTCTGTAATTTTATTATCATATGTATTATGCAACAATATGTTTTGTAACACCAAATTATGTTTAAAAAATTGAAAAAAACTTTTCATGAACTATTTAATTGAAGATTATTTCTTTGGTAAACCTAATGTTCACATCACTTTTAGTGGATCTTCTCACATAAAAAATAATTTTTACTCCCTCCGTCTCAAATTAAATTATTTTTTTACTACTTATAGAATCAAACTTCGTTTACTTTTTTTCACTATTTTCGATAGTTATTTGAGAAAATAATATAGTCATGTCACCACTAATTTTGTAAATCTTTTGATGTAGTTTTTAAATATGTAAATTTTATTTTTTAATTCTACATCTTTTTTCATATAAAATAATTTAAAAATAACTTCGGTCAAATATTATAAACTAAAACAAGTGGTTTAAATTAAGACAAAAGAAGTAGTTTTTTTAAAATACATATATTAATCGAGATAGCAAGCATTTGTTTAGCACGGCCACAAAAATGTGTGGACCTTAAGTCTACCATAGCATTTATCTTAGTTAATTTTATTTAAGCCTAAGTTTTTTTAATAAGGATAGTTACAAAAAGAAATTATTATATTAGTTTCCAATGTGATATATATACTAATTCATAAATTGTTATGATTATGTGTGAACACATCTAAAAATTTTCAAATCATATAAAGGCTTTGTGCGTGAACAACAATTTCAATTAGTATTATTGTGTTAAATTATTTTTTAATGATGCAGATTAGCTTTAAAAGTTCTAAACTAAATGCATTACCCCTAAATAATCTTTCCAAAACGCATTAGTTATTGCCAAATGAGCACAAAAAAGGTGCAAACACACATTTGAAAGCACAATAGGATAAACACTCTGAGACATTTTTATACACCACAGAATATGAAGTGTTCTTGAAATTACAAGGTTACATTATCCACCTTGAATTTTCTCACCAATATTCAAATTGATATTCTAGAGAGGAAAATGAATAAAATAAAGTAAAAAAAACAAAAAATTACCCAAACATGACTGCCTAATTTTCAACCCAAAAACATAGCCAATGTATAAATTTCTTAGGACCAAAACTAAAGAATGACCAATCAAACATGGATAGTGGCGTGCATCCTTCCACTCTTCTTCTATAATAAAGTCATTTGGGAAAAAATCCCTTGTACAACAACAAACTCAGTAAAATCTGACAAAAAAGAGAGTCCAGAGAGGGTATGTGTGCGCACACCTTACCCCTACTTGGAATCTCGTGTAGTCTTGAAATCTTTGGAAACACAGGGAGGAGGCCTACAACAAAATTGTGTTTTTTTTTCTTGTGCGTCTTTACCTTTCTTGTCTGATTTGTCCTCACGCGTCACATGTGGCGGGTAGCTGGTTAAACTTAACAAAAAAGCTTTGCAAGCAGCGATTAGGTACGGATTAACTTTGAAAACGTTAAACCGATCACTGCCAGTAGATAGCGTTTTCAAAATGCTAAAGCCAAATGTTGAAGTTGTTTGCCAAACAGACACTAAGCCAATAACCTCACAGACGAAGTAATGGCTAGCAACTCATCTGCACTGACTTTCTTCCACTCTCCTCCAATCATCAGACATCCTTTGACGCCCAAATAAGACATATTCTTCTCACTGTCGTCGTAGCTCTGTTCTCTCTCTTCCTTCTCTGTCTCAGCTTCCCTCGTTTTCTTACGAGTGGAATTGTCTAAACATTCGATAGCAGAATCTGCCACCCTCTTGCGGCTATTAGTGTCTGGGATAGACACTTCTGAATCTTCATAATCAAGAACAGGAAGACGGCCCGAAGAAGAGAAAGCATGAGGCAACATGCCTATGGGACATTGTCTCCAAGAATCAGCAACAACCCATCGTCGTTTCCCGGGACCCGCATTGTTTGGAATTTCATTTACCTTTTTGCCCTTTGGTGATCGGAGTTTGATGAGCTCAAACTTCTTGGCAGCCTGACGAAGAAGCTCTTCTTGCTTTGAAAGGAAGATCTCTGCAGGATGTGCATTAGGCAGGTCTGTTTCTTCAAATACACTCAGCAGAAAGAGTTTTTTCAGCTTATCGCGCAAAGGGATATTTCCTATCAGACTTGCTATGACCACAGATGAAGCCATCAGATGCTTGTTTCCATGAGAGGAAACCATAAGGCATTTGCTTAAAATTGTCGGTAGGGTCGCCTTTTGCAGGGTTAGATCCTCTGAGGAGTTTTCGGTTTCTGATGCGGCCTGGTTTATATTCACAGCTAACCATTCAAACAGGCAAGAAAGCAGTTGAATTTGGCGAGAGACGGGTCCATTATCAAAAGACTGGAAGTAACCTAATCAAGATACAGACAATGTGGAATAATTTTTTAGTATCAACATAATAACGAATCCCCACTGGACCTCAAAAAAAGGATACACAGAAAAATGAAAACTAATACAATTGTATAAGACAGATTTTTATTCATGCGGTACTAATATGAAGTGATGTTTGTGCAAGCAGTTTGAATTCTCACTTTATAGTTTCAAAACACCGTGTTATCAAAATGAATTATTATAAATATTAGTGGTAGTAGTAGTAGTCGTATTATTTAAAAGTGGTGCTTAATAAGTATTATTCAAAGGTTTAAAAATATTAATTTTTTGGAAGTCTTTTGTGCAAAATGATTGAGAACAAAAAATCTGCTCCAAAAATAGCAAACTACAAACATTAAAATCAAGAAGCTAGGATTTGCTTCTTGATTTTAGCATTTTCGGAGCGGATTGAGCTGTGTTTAAGCATTTGCAAAATGTTTTACTGAACACTTAAGGCAGATGCGTAAAAAGTTACTCAAAAGTGGAAGCAACTCTGAGCATTTGTCAAGCTTCTAGGTGACAGATATGGTTAAGAAATTGCATACCAATCTGAGATTCCATGGCTGCAAGTGTCTCAATTTTATCAAGGATTCCTCTAAGAAGCACAAAAAGAAAGTCTGACGCTTTATTTGATAATTTTGTGATGACTGGTTTCCAGTAGTCAAATACAGCATCCACATGAAGGGATCCATGCAGTGTTTTGGCATACTCTGACCCATCTACTGATTGTGAGGAATCCAAAGCATTGACCAACATTTCCAAAAGTACGGACACCACTTCAGTAGAGGACGAAGAATACAGCCGAAGAACATTTTTCAATGACCTGGTAACTTTTTTCTTCGGACCTGAAAGAAACAACCAACCCTATGTGGAAAACATGATAACTTGTAAGCATATGTAGAATATATGGTCAAAAGCAATGAGCAGATTGAAGACCAGTCTAGACCCAAAATTTTATGTGAAACCTGCATATAGTCCGAATTTTCCGCCCACCAATCCCCTAACACTTTAGAATGCAGGTCTACTGTCTATGTGCCCTATGTTAGAGTATAAAACATTTTCAGGCCTAAACCCACAGGCTTGAGCTTGTGGTTGAGTTGGTTCCTTAATACCCTGCAAAGCAGATATTGTAGGAGGACGATAACAATGTTGCTGTATATTGCAATTATTCAATATATATATATATCAACACTAACATTCAGAATTAACATACGGGCAGTGGGTAGAGTCTAATAATTAGGCAATATCAGCAAACTGCACAAATGCAATCACGACGTAATTAAAAAAGAAGTTTACTCACGCTTTTCCTTGGGAAAAGGACTTGATGTGGCATTCGCCTTTTCTTTCAAACAACAAGCCAATTCATGTAATCTGTCCCTTGTTTCTTTTTGAAATATGGTGGTCTGGTCCTGCTGAATAGCATCCTTTTGAGGCTTCCAGTAATTTGATTGCAACCATTCAAGTGCCTAAAATCATTACAGCACACTTAGAGAACTATGAAGCAGCCGAGCTTCCAAAAAAATAGATTTATAAAGATATGAAGTACTAGTAACAGCAATAAAAACCAACTATGAGGTTACAATCCCCACCTCTCACTCAAGGAAAGTTAATTCAATGGTAATTTCATGAATTCCCATATAGCTACACCTCCAACTTCATGAACATGTAAATATAAAAGTGCCAAGGATGGTTCAAAAATAACATATGACATTTCAACGAACTAGTACTTGAATTTGCCGTAAAAAAATAATACTTGAATTTATGCAATTCAACAACACCAATCTACTTAAATCAAACGCCTAAGGATCACATGAGTACATGACAACAACAACAACAACCCAGTTGAATCCCACTACAGTAGGGTCTGGGGAGGGTGTGTGTACGCAGACCTTGCCCCTACTCGGAAGTAGAGAGGCTGTTTCCAAGAGACCCCCGGCTCCAACTGCACAAAAAATATGATAAGAATCACAGTATAACACAGATAAAGCACCAAGTACAATAATGAGTACATGACTACAATAAAGAGGAACCTACAATAATAAATGATGAATCAATTAGTGGACAACATGAACTGAATAAATGAATGATAAAGGAATCATGGATACCTTTGTTGAGGCAAGGCGGGCATATTTAAGCGAAGGAAGGCCACGATGAGAACCCTCTGAAAGAATTCACAATAGTTTAAAATAAAAACTTCACATACCAAAAAACAAATGGGAAACAAAGTGCACAAATGTACACATGTATGAAAAAATGTATAACAAGTCAACAACATAACTCAGTTTAATCCTAACACTATTAGGGACCTTAGGGAGGAATCAAACTTCTTGACGTACTGCAACAGTTAAAAAAGTCTTATCAATAAAATAAATTAACCTCGAATGCAAATCTCGAAATGCAATAGTCATCTTGAACAGAATTTTGTGCCATGGTGGCTTTTGGCATTTCAAACAGCTTTTGAATAAAATTACAGTTTGTTCAAGATTTCTCCAGGCCAAAAATGAGTTTTTATCACCACAAAGACAATCCTAAATGAAGCCTTACTAGAATATTGTTGAATATCTTATCTACAATTCATTGCCTGTTTCCTTCTATCCACAAAGCGAAAGGTTTAACAATCTGCGTGTGAATAATGAATTAGAATATCCGCAAAAGGGAAAATGCAACTATGCATTAATACATACCATGTCGGACATCAATCACCATACGGTGGAGGCCAAGTTCCTCAGCTGCCTCAGCTATTGAAGCATAGCTCTTCTTGCGGTGCTTCTCAATAACTCCATTTACTAACCTTGAAAGATAACACCATATATAAAACAGTATTTGAAACATCACCAACTAAGGAAGGAAATTTTGTTATTGACAGGAACATAAAAATATGAAAAAATCATGAAGCATAAAGTTATCTCATCTAATGAGAACCGTAAAATGGAAGAGAGCCCCACACAAGTCATCGATGAATAAATATTGTAGGATAAAATGCAAATTAACAAACACTTCCAGTTAGGTAAAATTTAAATAATTCAAAATAAAATTAAAGGCAGGGATAGGAAAGCAATGTGTATTATATTTAAGTCCTTTCCCAAAAGTTTTCCACAGTAGCAAACAAAAGGTTCAAAAAAGAATTGCACCCCAATTGGAGGTGCAAGCAAGACTTAATCCTGGGGATTAGGGGAAGAAGGGGAAGGATGGAAGCACTTGAGTACTTGACCAAACACCCATTGAAAAAAAATGAATGACATAAGAAGAAAAACCAACAATTTATTAACTACAGATCAGCATTGCATATCTACACCGTCTGAGATGAAACATTGACCATTATACTAATGATAATAAAAGGAAAACTAAGTAGTTAGCATTAAATACTTGGGGGAAAGAAAACTTAAAATTTATATAAAAAAAAGTAAATAAATAAATACCTGGTAACTGCCATAGAATATAGCATAGCCAACATCTCTTCTGACAACTGAACACTAGTTGGTATATCATCTCTACAATGGGTCCAAAAAGTATAACAATAATATGAGTATTTGAGTACATAGCGATTAGAAGAGGCCATCCCGCCATCGAGAGGGTGTAGACATGTAAGAGAGAGAAAAGATTGAGTGTGACACTTGTACTAAAATGATCAAGACATACCCTCCTCAGCAGGCGGGGGTATATATAGATGGGAGATACAAAATAGCATGGGAACAGGGAGTTGGAAGACGATGACAGCGTCCTTAGTAGACCAAGGGGGAAACTGGGCCCAGCCCAACATGGCTAGCCCAGTTGTGGGGCATCTAGAGCTATCACGCTGGCTATTATGGTTGATCGCCTGGCCTAGGCCGAGCCCATGGACGAGGCTCGTGTGCTAAGCCAAGGCCGAGCTCCAATGATACTTCAGAGGCACATATACGCACTTTTATCGACCTTTTGGGTCCTCACTACAATAGCCTTTGAACCCGGTATCCAGACCAGTCCATCAATATAATTTCGTAATCTCAATTCAACATTAATCAATCGTATAGTTTTTAATAACAATAATAATAATAATAATAATCACATAAAGAAGAAGAAGAAGGGATCACCTGAAAAAGGGATCTTTTTGCTGAACTTCGATAACGGAAGCTGTAACATTAATGGCTATGGGAATGCACCCTCTGGTCCTCCAAGTCGAAATCTAAAATATTCACATCTCAATCTCTTAGAAGTATTAATTGCTACGCACAACAATTTCATCAAATGCATTATTAACAAACAAATTAGAATAAAAAAGAAGAAGAAAACACAAGACACATAAAAAAAACCCTTTCATATTACCCTCTGAAGAGCAGAATCGACCAAAAGCGGAGAAGAAGAGAAAAGGGAATCTCCGACGGAGCTCCACTCTTCCCAGCTTAACCACGGCACCAACTTCAATTCCTGCGGCTTTTGTTCGTCGGCGCCGTTAGAGTTCGACTCTTTAAACCCTAGCAAAGACTCCATCGCTAGATTCAAGATCGCAATTTTTGCAAAGAGTGCTTCGTGTCAGTGGTTTAACTGAATCGGGATAAAACCCACATATGCGTAATTGGCTAATTGCGTATCTTTGAATGAACGAGTGCAGAATCATTGAACAAAAAGGTGCAAGTTAAACATAGATTTTAGAGTAGATTCTACTCCCTCACCAAAATGTTTGACACTTTTTTTTATTCATTTTATTTAAAAATTGTGAGAGAAATAAAAAAAATCTATTTTATCAAAAAAAAATAATGAAAATAAATTGATGGTGGGTAGGAATTAGGATCTTGACACAAAGGTGTAGCAGTTTTTGGAGCTATGGTTTACTCTCCATCTGGAGCTTTCTTGGGGGCAGTGAATGACCCTCTTCCTCATTGGATGAGTGCACTCATGGCAAAAGCTTTGGCGGGAAAAGAAGCCCTTGTGTGACTGATTGGTCGTGGTTTTCAAACTGTTCGATTATTGTCGGATTACTCCCTCTCTTATGTCATAATCTTTTAGCCTGAAGATAGATCCTACATTGGTATTGTCATTTCTGAGTGTTCGAGCTTGATGTGGCTTTTCACATGATCATTTCATTTTGTTCCTCGCAATTCTATTTATATTTCTCATTCGTTAGCTTCGATCGTTTATGTGCAAGCCAACAGTCTATATTGGGACTTGACCTCTCCTGATTTTGGTCTGATTCATTTATAATGCAATTGGATTTTCAACTCAAAAAAATTCTTCTTTAATTTTATTGAAATAATTATCTTTTTGAAACATTTTGAAACTATCTTTTCAATAATATTCTTCTCAATTTTTTGAAATTATGATCTTTGAAAAATAAAAATTAAAAAATGCCAAAGAAAAATACTAAAATGTCGTTTTTGCACATATCACATATCCTATAAATTGATCGACATTATATTAAATCAAATGCATTATTTTCATTCAATTTGGGGGGGGGACCCATATAAGAATCCGAGTTACGGCCTCCCAAACTTGCCATGAACCCACACTCTCTTCATCCTCTTTCCATTCCTCCGATTCACAGACGTAACGCAACAATACTCAAGCTCAATCTGTGGACAAGACCCAACCACAAGCGGGGTTAGTGTCATTTTGTAACGTTTTCGTGTTATGAAAATAGAGCACGGAAAGCGTGTTTGGCAAAAGCATCAATTTTTACACTCTTTACTCAACATTCAAACCCATTTTGGAACCCAATGTAGGACCTCCAAATGGCTGAGTGTCATGACACTGAGTGTTGGTGTCAAAAGATCCCTACCATATTTAATAAATGCAACAAATAAATGATCACAAAAAACAAGGGAGAGTATGTCTTTCAAGTCTTGCCCTTTGTTTTGGAATTGTTCTTCCGTTGTCCTAAGGTCCACATGTGAAATATGGACCTTGTCGCACTTTTCATAGGCTGGAAAGTAGATCTTTTTGTTGCAAAAATCTCAATTCTTTTATGATATCAATGCACTAAGGTTCATAAAACGAGCATGGACCTTAGGACCACGTAAGAATTTGCCTTTGATTGGAGGAGCTGAGAGATGAGAAAAGCTACAATTGTGCCACTCAAAATAGATGTGTTGGGGTGATTTTGGAACTTCCAAATAAAAGTGTTTCACCTATTATACATGCTGTATAATGAACTAAAAATTTAGTCATGCTTGATTGCTTGAGATGAGTAATTTTGTTTGAAAACTACCAATGAAAACTCCAAACCACTTTTTCTGGTTTTCATAGTATATGTTTTTGTAAAAACACAGAAAACAGGAAAACATATCAAAAACCATAGCCATGTCGTCGTGTTAACTAAGTCATACCTCAGCGAAGCCAACACTGCAAAACAAATCCCTCACGCTGTTGAGACAAAAGAAATAAGACCGGGTTCCATCAGGCCGCATGTATTCCCTGAATCCCACTCTTTGTTCTGGCTCGAACCGGAGCATGGTCATATCATAGAGCCCTGAGTTCATAACACACAAAGAATTGAAGTTCTTCATAATTTCCAGGAAAAGTAACAAACTCGTAGAAAAAAAATTGTCCTTCATTATGTCGGGTATAGCTAAACAAAACAACCCAACAAACCAAACTATTCAAAATCAACAACAAATCCATTGGTCTGGGGAGGGTGAGTGTAAGCTGACTTTACGGCTTTATCCCTACTTGGAAAGTACAGAGACTCTTTCCAAGAGACCCCACAGTAGAACTAACAAAGTGTGAGTAAAGAAAGTAGTTTTGTTTGAACTGTTCAAAACCTAAACAGGTAAAAACGAGGTGGTTCATTTGTTTGTTTAATGACAATGCATTAAGAACTGAGCAACACAAAAATGGCAAAACGATAATGTCAATTCTGTTGACTGTTGGGTTTGTTTGTTTGGCATTTTTTGTGGTCAAATGTAAATTGTATAAATAACCCAAGTCAATGGCATTTTTCAAAATGACAAGCCGACAAAACCAAACAGATGAAACCCATAATATCAGGCAATTACCATAATCTCTGAATAACAGCAATCCTCCTTGCCTCAAAGCATAAAAACACTCGCGGATTGCCATTCGCATCCTATGTATAGGCAGTGCTGATAGAGTAAATATCTGCATGTTAGATTGAAGAGTGAAAATCTCAACAAAAAAATATGGAATTTCCTTAAGGGGATGCTTGGATAGATGGTTTTGCATGGGTGGTGTAGATTTATTTGAAATGTTACTCTGTAATAATTGAAAGATTGACAATATGACATGATATGTAACCGTATTAGTAGTATTACCATTTCAATCATCTTTTGCACATGTTTAGAAATATCTATTCATCAAGATTTACACTAAGGCCCTCAAAACCATTTCCCACCACGGTCCTCCATCCAAACATGCCTCTAAAATACTTAACTTAATTGAACAATAAAAATAAACTGCACTGCACATACTAAAGTAAGAAAATCTACGCCACCAATGCAACATGGTTTTCCCTCCAAGCGTGATGGATTAGGGGAATATATCTTCCCAGCACTATTTGAATCTGCATAAAACAAAAACTATAGAAATGGCATACAACTCCCTCTTGTTTCATAATAGCTATCAGTTAAGAAGCCCACTAAATATATAAAATCTCGCAAACACGAATTAACTCTCTTCTAAGAACTACTAGAATTTACTTTAATCGAGAATTTAGATAAAGGGAAAAATTAAAAATTTGGTATCAAATGTTCCCTAGGTGCACCGGTTAAGGTGTTGCCACGTGACGTTGAGGCCGAGTTCGAGCCATAGAAGAATCCTCATCCAAAAATGCAAGGTAATGTTCAACTGAACCACACCATTACGGTCGCTCAACGAGATGCTTTGTGGGCAGGCTGGTGAGCTGCCTTTCTTAAAAAAAAGTCAAATAAAGCCTTTGAGTTTACAACCGCAAACCTAGTAAAATCCCACAAAAGTAGGCTCTAGGCAGGAGCCACGGAGTGTGTACGCAGACCTTACCCCTACTCGGAAGTGGAGAGGTTGTATGCAGAGAGCAAATAAAAGTTCTACCCAACTACTCTAGTCCCAGATCTCCAGATGTTCATATATAATGTCATATCCTCGGTAAGATTGTGAATTATATATGGAGTACTAATTAATGCACATATTCCAAATGAACCAGAATAAATTTATAAGGCAAAGAACCTGAAGAAAAAGCACATTGTTTAACTATAGAATTTTCCCGACAAGAACTACAGATCAACCACTGAGGACACATGTTTGAAGAAAAATCCCATTGGAACAAGTTGAAGCAATGTTCTGCTGATTCCAAATTAGCAGCAATTATGTTCTCCTTAGTCCTCTCAACAGCTTCGCAGCTACAATCGCATGCATAAAGAACAATGCTCTGGTTCCCACTACAATATGTCATCAAGGATTCAGAGAAAAACAAACCATACACAGCTCTGCTCAATAGGTAAATCATGATCCCTCATGCTTTTTTGAATTTAGAATTATATTGGGTTTGTTGTTGTTGTTGCACAGACAACAATAAAACCGAACAACAACAACAAGCCAGTTGGATCCCACAAAAGTAGGGTGTGGAGACAACAACAAACCCATTAGGCAAATTCTTCCATGGACCTAAGGTGCATGGTGAAACTTTATATAAGCCAAATGAGCATTTGCTTACCACTTAGGTAAACATTTTTATTTTTAAAATAAATAAATAAATAATTGTGGAAGAAGGTATATGTGCGCCTTAGGTGCATGATAGAATTTCTCAAACCAACAAAGTCCCACAAGAAGTAGGGTCTGGGCAGGGTGCGTGTACGCAGACTTCACTCTACTTGGTGGCAGAGAGGCTCAATGTAAGAGGCCCAGAATATCTGAATAGGAAATGGGCTACTCCGTATTTATAGGGAGCAACTTATTTTCTAGAAAACATTCTCAAACGTTATGCAATAAAACAAAGCATTACAATTAACACATGAGCACACTACGTTTTTAAAACAAAGCTGAAGATATTGGTTACCGTAAAATTGGGAGGACAGTACTGCCATTCCCACATCCCACTTCCAAGACAATAGAGCCCTCATTGCAAGAGGCTAATTCAGGGAACTCCTTGAGCAAATAACGCCTCTCCTGCATTGAAGACAGGTGCTGAGCTAAAACTAATATGGGGTAGAAGTGTAGAATACATCATAAGAAAAAAGTACATATGAAATAGAAAAGTAGTCAACAAAAGTTCCTTGGTTCAACTAACATGTCAAACTCTTTGTATTGTCTAAACAATATTCACAGTGCACGATTCCACACATTGAACATAAATCTGTTTGGTAAAGCCTGCTCTTTTTTAATATAACCTTTATAGGTACAGAACTGAACTGAAACCAAAATTGCTCCATATTCATTGACAACACATTGAAATAATCAGATAATGGATGTTTCGCGTCAAGTATGAAAATAACCCCGAAAAGGTGAAGTTGATATCCATGTACAAAGAGGCTGTGAGTCACCTCCTCCCTACCTTTTTCCATTCTTAAAAAAAAATACGGACTTACGGAGTGTGAAATGTTTGCTTTATGGATCATTCAATAGAGCTTATCTGAATTGAACTGAGTGGTACTTAACTGAACTAAACTGAACTTTTATCGGTCTTTCGGTAGAGCTTATCTGAATGGTACTCGGCTGAACTAAACAGAACTAAATTTCACTTGAACTTATGGTTACTGAACGGACCTCAAAAATTCATTTTGAGGCAGTTAAGCTCATTCAAAACTCCATTTTTTGTCACAGCCTCGTCAAATCCACATAATTTAACCAAAGTTCACCCACCAAACTTACCATAAACTTCATATACCTAGACCCAAATCGAACAGGATAGTAATACATAAAAGCTGTGATACCTTAAAGAATCTGCCTGTAGAATGACGGGTGTGGAACTTATTCCAGGCTTCAGAATCGTCTTCTGGAAAAGCAGAAGGAGAAGAAGAAGGATGATGAAGATCCTCCTGGGTTCTGATGGCGGGATTAGGGTTAGGGGCCAAGTGATGATGGAGAAGAGACGGGTCGTTCTCCACGTCTAGCTTCAGTTGCTCCCATTCGAAATCCTTGGAATAATAATTCTCGGCTGCCATTTTCCCTCCTTTTTCCCGTCTTCATCGCCGTTATTTCCATTTCTGCAATTCTTCAATTTCTTCTTCATCTCTAAGCAGTTATTAATGATTTTTGTTTGGGATTTGTTAAGTTTGATTTTTTTAATTAAAATATGTGAAATTTAAATTTTAATTCAATAAAATATTTCGTATAAAAATAACTTCATTAAATTAATCTTGTTAAGATTATGATTTTTTTTTGTTTTAGGGTGGTAATAGCTACACCCCATCAAAACATTAAATTTACCTTACATACGAATTTTACCTCGCTTCTTTTTAATCTATTTTAAATCTTGTGTTTCATACGAATTGATATACTCGGTATATTCTAAATTTCTTTAAGTTATTTTATTTTCAATGAATTAATAATTAAATTAACATCATCAAAATATTTTAAAGTGAATTTTAAAACTCATATAACTTTTTTCGAGACGTAACAAAATAAAATAAACGGTTGATATTTCTAAAAATATATTTATAATAATGTTTTTTATTTTTAAAAAGTCAATATAGTTTTTAAAATAATAACATATATATAAATCATGGGCTATATTTAGTTAACGTGGTGCATCTAGTGTTTTAGTAGGTGTGGCTATTACTATCCTTTGTTTTATTAATTACTCCGTTATACACAATACATATTGAGGGTAATTGGCAATTAAAGTTCATACAATTGACAATAAAAATCAAATGAGAGGAATATATATTAATTTTTTAAAAAGAAATTAACTTTAATAAAATAGGGACCGAGAGAGTACAAAACTATGTTTCATCTTTTCTGAAAAAAATCTCCAAAGAACTTATCTTTTGTTTAATTTTTTTTATTTCTACGAAAGAATATTTAAGTTATAAACAGCTTATAGATTATATTATTACATATCAGCAATAAATCAATAAAATGAAATTTGCACTAAATCATTTCCTAATGTATGATTTAAATTATTTTATTTTCTAAATAGGACTTAATGATGTTTAGTAGGAGAAATAATGTCCAGTGATGATGGACATTTATTTGAATGATGACTAATGGATAATGACCAATTGTTCTACATTGGAAAATAAAAACATATAATTCTATTTGAAGAAAGTCATTATGTTTTAGTTTTATTTAAGTAAATTTTCCATCAATAAACACTAATAAGAGAAACACCATCTATTTGAATGAAATTCATGCCAACTTTTGATTATTCGCGTACAAAAATGTACCCAAAAAAGATACTTTTGTATGATCGATGGAAGTTCAAAATGTGAAATCATGCGTTCGGATCAATTTTCTTCATTTTCCAAAACGAAAAACAGATAAAAATGAATATACAAGTATTATTTTGAAACAAATGAAAAATTTAAATTTTAAAATATTTAGGGAAGGAATGGGAGTATTAGTCAACAACTTAAAGAGAGGGCTAACCTTGGCAGGTGTAAAGTGGTTGATTTCGAAAGGCTACAATTTAAATAAATACTACCCTCAACTATTACTACATTTTCCGTCTCATAAATTTTTTCAAAAAATAAAAAATGATTAAAAATGAATTATAAAATACAGACAAAAATAAAAAAATAATATTAAAATTGTACATTTTTAAGGCGTGTCTTTTTTCCATAGTTTTGAAAACCGAACCGGTCGAGCTACCGGTTCACTGGTTGAACCAGTGGTTCGAGCGGTCGAACCGGCGGTTCAAACATGTTTTTTAAAACACTATATTCACACATATTTTTTGCCACAAATTAAAGTATTATGTTCCAAGAATACCAAATTCTTGAATATAGTCCCCAAAAAAAGTGAGTTTAATAGTGTTACATGCCAAAAATAAACACAACTTCAAAATACAAGTCATCAAACACTTCAGTTTCGTTTTTGTTTTTTATCATCTCCGACCTGGCCCCAAGCTGGATCTGTCTTCCCTCTTTGTGCATTCTTGTCATTTTGAGTAGCCTCCATTGAAATCAAAATTCAAAACTGATCCTGAAATAAATCTTTACGACAAGAGAAATGACAAGTAATGCCGAGCTGCTGTAACATAATAAATTCAGGAAAAGATCATTAAAAAAAGAATATAAAAGTTTAACTTTATTTGTATATGAAACATGGAGCAATAACAGTGTTACGCAGCACAATATTGGTAAAGCATCATGAAACACAAACTCTTGGACTAAAAAAAAATCATGAATGTAAATATCAAATTAAAAGAATAGAGTTTAGCTGAATCAATTCTCAACCTATTACTTTTCAATTACTAATGTCATCATTCAAAGCCACAAATAAGTAACCCATTCTTTAAAAAATTAGGAATCATAATTTCGGGAAGTACAGTACAGAGTATAACTATAATACTATTAATACCTGGAGATGGAGCGCACTATGCGTTGGACATGGAGATGAAGATGATCGGAGGTGGCGAGAGAGATGATCGGAACAGAAAGTCTTGGCGGAGAAGAAGAATCAACATTCACTAGGGTTCTTTTGATTTTTTTCCGTCAGGGGATTGGAGATCTGTAATTTGGTTCCATGGAGTCCAGTCAGTACACATTAGGATTTTATTTTTTAGCTTTTAACAAAAAAAAAGAAAAAACCGGAACCGTTAAAAAACCGGCCGGTTCTTACCGGTTCAGTGCTTATTACGGTCTAATAGGGTGGACCGGACCGGTTTTGGCTCTGGTTTGCCGGTTCCCGGTCCGAACCGGCCGATCCGGTCCGGTTTTTAAAACTATGCTTTTTTCCAAAAATATTTATGGGAGGAAGGTACGGAGTATTACTTTCTCCATCTTTAAATACTCCATTCCGTAAACTTATGTCTTTCACTTCTAGTCTTATATAGAATTTAAAGAAAATGTTTAAAAGTTAAAAATGAATAGTTAAATTTAATAAGACGAAAAAGAATTTTTTTAGTCACATAATTATTTTTTTAGAGAAAAATAAAGGTTATTTTAATACGTCTAAAAACGAAAATTTATTTGAAAAAAGGAGTGTGTGCTTTTGATTTACTTTTGGGTGCCCTCCCTCTTACGTAGTCAAGTCGTGACTTGTGACTTATGATTAGCATGTTTTAATAAAATAGTAAAGAATACTCTACAAATATGATTGTTTTATAATCCATAAATAAAGTTTTTCTTGTACATTACTAATATTTTATTGAAGTTATTTTAAAATCAATGTTTATGAAAAATGACATGTAATTACAAAATAAAAATTACATACTTAAAAACTACATGAAAAAATCTATAAACTAGAGATCATATGACTATATTATTTTATCAAATATGACACAAAAATAAGCCAATATAGTGAACAAAAATATGTTTTCTATCATTTGTATAATGATTGATTTTAAATTCTAAAATTTTCTAATAAAATTATAAGGGCTTTCTTTGACTTTATTATTGAAAAGTGGTACCTTAATAAAATCATGAGGGCTTTATTTTTGTGGGTCCATATAAAAAGCCATTATAGATATGCCTTTAATTTCCACATTCTCCCACTGTAAATTTTCAATTTCCCATAGCTTTCACCTTCTTGATGGATCGATGAAGTTTCAATCGCAAGAAAAGATTTGATTTTTGGGTAAGTTTCTTCTTATTGTTCTTTTATCTGTTTCAAAATCCGCAGTAAAATTTTAATTTCAAAAACTTATATGTATAAATCATACTACGCAGCGTTTATCTTTTCAGAAGAAATTTAGTAATTGCATCGATTTTATTGTTGTTGTTGTTGTTATTATTATTTTTATTATTATTATTGTTATAATTATGAATTTATTTTTTATTTTTAAATTTATTTATTACCCGGGTTCGTATCCCAGTGGGAGCATTGGTTGCATTTCAAAATGTTGAATAAATATATTTGAACATATACTACATTGTAATAGAGCGAGTAATACTAAAAAGAACATTACTGCAGTGCCCAAAGTCTCCCGCCCATTACGGAGTAAGAGGATTGTATGTACACAACCTGACACTTATGTTTAAAACATAAAGCGGTTATTTAAAAAATTTATAATGTTAAAGCGTAATGCAAAAAACATTGCTGACTTGCATTGTCAAATTGCAACGTTTCAGGGATAAATTGGTATAAATTTCATATTAGAATTTTATTTAAATAGTCTTTATACGATTTAAGATTCATATTAACGATTAAACACTTGTGATCAAGCGGCATAACTGTAACTCTTTCACTTCACCAGGTTATTTAGTTAAAATGAGGCTACAGGGACTAGCATTTTATGGTCTGACCGTGGTGGTGCTAAACCTCATGATCACGCCTCATCCATTGAGTCTAGCGGCGCGCAGCACCAGTGAGAACCAACTAATAGGCGTGAACTGGGGGATGCAGACCTCCCACCGCCTACCTCCGAGGAATGTGGTGAAGATGTTGAAAGACAACGGGATTCAAAAGGTGAAGCTTTTCGAGGCGGATCCTAACGCTCTGAGAGCCTTGAGAAACAGTGGCATTGAAGTCATGGTTGGCATTCCCAATAATATGCTCTCAGATATGGGTAGCTTTGAAGTAGCTGAGGAATGGGTTTATGAAAATGTCACCACATATATCAAGGACAATGTTGACATCAGGTTTGGGTCTCTTATACCTTAATTACTCTCCTTTTCTATGTAGTATTTTTTTTACTCTCCACATCCCCATATAAAAGTTAGGTATGGAGTACAAATTTGCCACGTAAAATAAAGTGCTTTAATTTTTTTAAAAAAATTTATCTTATTTAAAAATTGGTATATGAATAAAAAAATAAAACTTGTATACTTCCTGTTATACATTTAAATACTCATCTTCATAGGTTGCACCTTGTAACTTGTTTTTAGTTTACAGATATGTTGCAGTTGGTAATGAAGCCTTCTTGAAAACTTACAACGGAACTTATCTTAACACGACTTTTCCCGCTCTCCAAAACGTTCATTCCGCGCTAGTAAAAGCCGGGCTTGGAAATCAAGTCACCGCCACCGTCCCCTTGAATGCAGATGTTCACGACAGCCCTACCGGCTTACCATCTGATGGTGATTTTAAGCCAGAGATTCGCGACTACGTTCTTCCGATCGTCAAGTACTTGAGCTATTACAGATGCCCTTTTACTGTCAACATCTACCCGTTCCTGAGCGTTTACAAGGACCCAGATTTCCCTTCAGAGTACGCATTCTTTGACGGGGACTCGAAGCCTGTAGATGATAACGGGACATCCTACGAAAACATGTTTGACGCAAATTACGATACCCTTGTGTGGGCCCTACACAGGAATGGGTTTGACAACATGCCTATCATAGTCGGAGAAATTGGTTGGCCAACTGACGGGGACAAGAATGCCACAATTGAAGATGCCATGAAGTTCAACCAAGGGTTCGTTGATCATATACTGAGCGGGAAGGGCACCCCAATGAGGCCTGGGGTGCCCATCAACGCATACCTTTTCAGTTTGATTGACGAGGACTCAAAGACCATTGCCCCTGGGAATTTCGAACGACATTGGGGGATTTTCTCTTACGACGGAAAGCCGAAATATCCACTCAATCTCGGCACCACCACGGGACCCTCTCTTGTTCCCGTGGAAGACGTGAAATATCAAGACAACAAGTGGTGTATATTCAAACCAAAAGCCAAGCTCACCGACCGTCGAATCGACAAGAGCATGAGCTACGCGTGTAGTCTCGGAGATTGCACGGCGCTAGGATACCAAACATCTTGTGGAACATTAGACGCACGTGGAAATATCTCGTACGCGTTCAACAATTACTACCAAATGCATGACCAGTTGGATGAGGCCTGCACCAGCCATTTTTCAGGCCTTGGTGCAGTGACAAGGTCCAACCCTTCTGCAGTGTACAACAACTGCGTGTTTCAAGTCATGATCGAGCCCTACTACGGAGCGTCCTCCGACTTGATTCCAATGACATGTGGTTTAGTAGTATTTTTGGGGCTGATTCTCTCTGCATTATTGACAATTTTGTGAGACTTTATATACTTCATTACTTATACAATTCCTTTCCGATGATTAGATGAGTTGAGGAATTTTAAGTGTAATAATTATAATAATAATAATGCATATACATGTATGGGTTATTTGTGGAGAAAACTTATACTAGTATATGATGAGGATTTTGGAATGCTTAATAGCTATTGTAAAACTTTAACCATTTTTTTTGCATGAATTTGTTATCTTTAAGAGGGTGAGAGTCAAATGGGTAAACCTAAGTCCGACTATTGGCAATGACGATAAAGAATAACCATGCACTTCTTGCACGGGACAAGCCCAGCATCCTATCAACCACATTGAGATTATAGCTTTATCTCCTCTGTCTACTATCAAGACCCGTACTATAAGGGAGGACTTCGGAGATTGGGGTTCAATTTTATTTTCTATATCGACCTTCACGAGGTCATCACAGTTTAACTTTTAATGATTAACATGTTACTCGTTGCCATGTCAACTTTTAATGAAGGCAGGTTAACTCTTTAAAAACGTGCAAAATATACAATAAAACAATACTATTGCCAAAGCCATGGAAACACACACTTCAATCTCTGGAGTTGAAAAAAGACTAGAACGGCACACGTGACAATTTCAGACATGGCAACGTCCAAAATGCCAAAAGATAGTACACATTTTTCTTTCAAAAAAACATTTAGCACACAACTAGCATAATTAAGAACCGTGCTACAATCACACCATAGTTTGACATCTTATGTTTCCCGAACACTTATTGTCAGGACCGCCTAGACATGTCTTGAAACACAGTGTCAAAACAGATTTATACACAGCACAATGATCCCAAAGAGCTAAAAGAGAAAAGGAATCATTGCCTTCCTACCCTTGGGGAAGTTTTCAAACTTGGACAAATACCATCTCCTAGTGGCAACACTCCTCCCCATCAGATAAAAACACGTACCCAAAGCAAACACGGACACATACAACATCTGGGAAATGCAAGAAATCCCGACAAACCCCAAAACCTCGAAAAGGTAATGCGGGCACACCACAAGACCAAACAACCCACCTTGGGGTATTTTATACTGCTTCTCGCCATCGTTTCTTCTCAATGCAGAAAGAAGGTAATGGTGGTAGAAATTACCCGTTATGCCAAGGAGAAAGATCACGAGCCCGAAGATTTTCAGGTCGACTCGTGGGTCTGGAAATCCGCGGACTAGGTGCTGAGAGTAGATCATGTTTGCAGTGCCTGTGAAGTAACTAAGGGAAATAGTAATTGTTGTCTCCACATCGACACTGCCACTATATTTGTGAAGAAACATCACCTGTTATGTGCAAGGGGTTAGGAGAGGGTGTGGGAGTAACTTTAAATTGTATTTGAATTGAGAACCATTGAACAAAAAAAAGTCCACGAAAAATAAACTTTGGGTCTGTTTGTGAAGGGGGAGGAAGACATTTTCCTGAAGATCGTTCAAAAATGAGCCAGAACAATAATTTCTATCTTTCTACTGAAGATATTTTCCAACTTTCTCCCACTTATTAGATTGAACTCACAAAAAAAAGATTGAACTCACCATGTTTTATTATGCTACTACAACAAAAACTAGTTTTTTTTAATTTCCCAAGCTTCTAACCAAACACCAAAAAATGCATTTAGTATCCATATGTCAGTTTTCAAACATTCAACTTTGTTTCTTGTTTTTTGCTCAGGGCTTGTAATTTTTTAAATTGGGTGCCAGTGGGGTTCGAACTTTGTGATCTCTACGTCAGTGACCAACTCAACCAAAAGCTTAAGCTCCAAAAACTTTTATACTCTAACAAAAGGCTAAAATCCACCATTGGTCCTTCAACTTTATCAGTTGTGCACGATTGGTCCTTCAAGTTTCAAAAGTCCATAAATAGTCCTTCAACTTTATGAGTTCTGCACCATTCGTCCTTCAAGTTTTAAAAATCCATAAGTAGTCCTTCAGGTACACGTCAGCCGTCCATATGAAGTCCTTTTGACCATAAATATTAAAAGTTAAATGAAATACTGGTTTCATATAATACGAGTAAATTCCATTAGGTACGACTACTCCGTATTATATGGAGCTAGTATTCCATTTAGCTTTTAACATTTACTGTCAAAAGGACCTCATCTGGAGGGCTGACATGTACTTGAAGGACTATTTATGCACTTTTAAAACTTGAAGGACCAATCGTGCATAACTCATAAAGTTGAAGGACTATTTATGGACTTTTAAAACTTGAAGGACCAATCGTGCACAATTGATAAAGTTGAAGGACCAATGGTGGAGTTTAGCCCTAACAAAATCCTTACTGGTCTGTTTGTGAACTTAAATTTGGATTTCAATTTCATATTTGACCCAAATTATCTGTTCGGGAATCCAAAAATTTGGAATTGAATTTGGGCCAGATTTCTCTAATTTCCAAAAAAACTCAATTGCAAATTCAACACACCTAAGAATGGAAATTCAAGAATTCAAATGAGTTTTTAGCTTCCAAACACTACCTTGTATAAATTTTTGAAGAGGGCCTTAGAGTCGTTAATAGTTCCCAAAAAACGGCAAATAAATTGTCAGAGAAATTGAAGCACAGAATTCCAAAAATATAAAGAACAAAACCACATCTTTTAAACAGATTAAAAAAAATGAAATTGGAATCATACCTCGAGGAGTCTTTTGAAGAAATGGATGGTAAGAGCAGCAGATACCAAACGGAACCTGAAATCTGCAACGGGGAAGATCCAAAACGAAGCCGCACCGGCAAGGAAAGCGGGAGCGTAGAAAATCGCCATCCCTGTTCTGCTCGAGATTCTGGCCGGCGATTTCTGGCCGGATCCAGATCTGTAAAACTTCGAGTAGTTCAAGTGCTTCCCTCTCGTCTCCTTCAATCCGGCGTTGCTCAGCGCGATGAAGTTTATGGCGGACATCGCCGTGAGGTACAGAGACGGAGGCGGCGGGTACAGGAAGCTCAATAACGATGAGAATATCGCCATTAGTTCCCTCTCTCTCTCTCTCTCTACTCTGTGCGGAAATGCGTTTTAGTTGTGCGGCGGAGGAGGGATTGGTTTGGCGACGGCGTGGACGGCGGCTGTGGGATAAGAAGTGGGTGGTGGAGGATTCAATTTGTCAACAGATTAGCCAAACTTTGCATGGGGAAGGACATAGATAGGACCTTGTGAATGCGATAAGGTGAGCAAGTACCATCCTCGAAATTCTAGAAAAAAAATAAAAAAAAATATCGAACCCAAAAAATACTGTAAAAAAATGAAACATGTTGATTTAAGGAGTCGCTATTTCGCACCTAATTGGTTAATTGGCATGTTGTTTTTTGCTTCAAAAAAAGGAGTCGGTATAACATACAAAAATGGTACGAGATAACTTCCTATGTCAAAAATCTTGGATCGAATATATACACGAGTATATTACGAATATCTAGGGGTTCCTCTAATGTCATGGGATGACCCGGTGCCCCATTCGTAAAATTGACGATTCCTACCCCCTAACTCCTTCCGATAAACCCCTCCATCCTGCCCCGACCCAAACACACTCCCGCACCCCCTTCAATTGTACTCCACAAGTTAATTTTGACTTTGGAGTCAAGTTTTGACTCAAAATCAAAATTAAATTATGGGGTGCAATTGAAGGGGGTGTGGGGGTATGTTCGGGTCGGGGCGGGGTGGGGGGTTTACCGAGGGGGTTAGGGGGTAGGAACTGTCAATTTTTCGAACGGTACACCGGAGCGCCCTGGATCATCCTATGACATTGCCGGACAATGTCATGAGATCGTCTCGTACAAAAATAATAATCTTTTCATATTTCTTTATTAAATAATAAATTTATTTTGAAAGATTAGTTTAAGTTTTATAATATGTAAGTTATACTTTTATTCAAGTTTTAATTTTTTGTAAAATAATATAAAAATATTATCAAACATTTGAAATTCTATTGGTTATCATTTCGTTTTTTATTTTATGAAAAAGAGAGTATAAATTAAGTTTTATAAGTATTTCTTGCATTCAGTTTTTTCTGTTTCTTTATTTAAATATACTTTCATTCTTCTAAAAAATAAAGGAGTTTTGTTACATTTTAAAGTGTAAACTACGTATGTATGTAATCAATCCGGTTTGTACCGTTATTGATATCAAATCATCCCAAACCACACAAAACCAATATTTTGGGATTGAAATCAGTACGACTTAAAATCTCATATGAAATCGACATATTTGGTATTGTATTAGTACGAGCTAAATATTATCATATTGTACCATATCCACTCTTCCCTACCTATTATGCTCTCTTTGAGAAGGTTTGATGAGTAAGAACCATGGATTTGATTAAAATTTAGACAAAGCATCAATCCAAACTTTGTACCAGTATAATAAATTCAAAATATCGTGATTTTTTATTATTAAAAGTACTCAAAATTAAGATAACGACTTTGGACATAACTAGCTCCCATGGTGCTTAGGGCGATGTGACAAAAGCTCGAGAATGAATTCACCCTTTTGTATTCTTTCTATTTATATACCAAAAAACATAGGGTAACTCTAACCTTTTAGGGTTATCATGATTTCATTCTTTGCACGGACACGCACAAACAATAACTATTAGTATAACAACTCAAAAATGTTGGGATAACACTAACTTTTATTTAAAAATGTTCTCCATATTTAACATTGCTATTTCAAAAACAATACAAATATAACATCATCATCAGACTCAACATTAATTAGAAAGAAACACACACACACACACACACTAAACATCACAAAACTACACACAGATATATAACAAAGCAATCTTGACCATATCCAAAGGCATTTGAGCAAATACAAGAAGATGCAGAATTTTAAAAATTGGGAAGGAGAAGAAGAAGAACACAGCAAAACATCATTGTTTGCCTGAGATTCTATGCAACCCTGACATACAATCACATTTGTTGATATATATGTGTGTATAGGGAGCAGAAGAGATGGGAGAGATGACCAAACAAGGAACAAAAAAACTACACTCTTATTGCCTCCCTAAATCTGATGCTGAAAGTTTTCTCCGGGCCGTTCTTCCCGGTTCCCATGATTGGATTTCCTTTCTGCATCATGGCCACGAATTCGTTGTAATCTATG